TACACTGTAGTTCATTCTCATTCTAACTTCTCGATATATATAAAACAGTTTGACTCTTACCAATCACCTCTATTATAGACTTTTAATCACCTGAGCTGCTTATGAGTTCTTACCTAATACACTGAAAGTCTCATCTCTCTGGCACTACCATCTTCCTCTTTTATCCAAGCCTGCCCCAAACATATTGGTATAACTCAGGGATTTACAAATTGTAGTGTGCCTCAGAATCACCAGCAGAGCTTGTTAAACAGATTGTTGAGCCCCACCCTAGAGTTTCTGAGTCTGGAGATCTGGGGTGAGGCCCAAGAATTAGCATTTGTAAAACTTTTCCTGGTGATGCTAATGCTTCTGGCTCAGGGACCTCACTTCAAGTATCACTGGAATAGTGATATGGCTTGATCAAATGTTCTTTAGTATGTTTTCATGATATTGATAGAATTATAAATTAGATGTGAATTCCCACTTGCTTTATGAGTTTAGTTTAGAGTATATGGAGGAAAAAAGCATAAAGAAGAAAAAATCTGAAAAATACAAGTAACCGAGGTTATTCCACACAAAATATATTCCATCACCAACAAAACTTGAAAAACTCTATGCATCACATCACCCATTTAGAAGATCATAGTGTATATTAGCTTATGAAAAGCTATAATTATGTCAGTAAAGCTACTTCTCAAATTATATTTAACCAAGTATTTCTTAAACTCATTTGGAGGCAAAACACTTCTCTTTTCTACGTATAACACTCTGGTGTTATTCAAGACATACTTTGAGAAATGTTGCTGTAAAGTTATCTTTTTTAGAAAGGTCAGATATCCCTGGGGGTCTGCCAGAATCATAGAAGCTTGGTCTCTGCTCAACTGCATTAAAATCATATGGAGGAGTGATTTACTTTGTCTCAAATCAAAGTCTGGTTTTCTCTAGCATGGCTCTTGGAACATTGCAATTAGTTCTGAGCAAAATTATGCCACAGTTAAAATTTGCTTAAGGACTGAGATTCAGAAACCAGGATAAGGGATAACCAAAGGTCTTTCAGAGATCACTTATTTCTAGCTAAGTATGTGTATCATCAAACACCTGATAATTTGATAAAAACTTTTGACTGAATTGATGTTAGACTGAACTGTTTAGTTTGTAAACTTCATCATTTTTTTAATCAAAACAATGTTTTTTCATATCTAATATTCTGAAACATTTCTCAGTCTAAAGTTTCCCAACAGCAGTTAAGCAAGCTCAACTTTAACATCTGTCAGAAGGCTGGAATGGAGTTCTGCTAGATCAAGTGACCTGGACTCATTTAGTAAAACATAGGTGCTTTCATACAATATTTCATTATCTTGGGCTTCAGCTCTCTCTGACCAACGATTATTGACTCTTTCCATATAAACATACTTCTTCTTGATCATAGAGAAGACAGAAGTAAAAAGACTTGAGTAACTTCACTTTAACTCTCTACCTTTTGCCATTACACCATGAGCCTCAACAGTGGGCTGGGGCTTGAGATAGACCTGGGTGTCATTCCCATAAAACAGATGGTGGAGTACAGGATTAGTTATACATATAAAAACACTACTGCTGATGCTGATGAAATTCATTTGGTGTTAAAGTTATAATTACTTTCATTGTTTAATATTCTAAGATAGTTCTGTACATCCATTTTGGTAAATTAATTACTGATCTATTTAACCTCAATGGTTTTAGGTAGCTAAGCTTTTCAAAAACTAGGCCCATTCATATTTACTTTTCAAACCCTACTATTTTACAGAAATCACACACATCATCTGTGAGTAATATATTTCAAAGCTTATACATGGATAGTGCATTACAATTAGCAGACACTTTCTCATTTGATTCTAATAACAATTTTATGAGGTAGGTAAAATCAAGACTTTTTCAGATGATCTTCAAGACATCTCAGTCAAAATATAATCAGTTTTTTTTAAATTATGAATAATGTATACAGCAAACATTCTGATTCTTAGCGCACCCCTTACTCCTACCATCAATATGGGAAGTTTCATTTTCTACTTTCTACATCTCTTTAGTTATTTGAATATTTTTAAATAAAGATTTATTTATTTGAGAAAGAGAGAGAGAATGAGCAGGGGAAGGGGCAGAGAGAGAAGGAGAGGGAGAGAAGCAGACACTGTGCTGAGTGCAGAGCCCAACATGGCGCTCAGTCTCACCATCTTGAGACCATGCCTGAGCCAAAGTCAAGAGCCAGACACTTAACCAACTAAGCCACCCAGGTGCCCAAATTATTTGAATTTTTAAAGAATGAATTATTTTTATAATCAGGAACAAAATTTTTTTAAAAAAATCTGTTAGAACTGAATTAGTGTCTAAGGGTATATCAGTTCTAAGGGGAAATCAAATCTATCATATAAATGAGTTTTTTTCAGTACTAAACATAAAATATCTATATTACTGAGTAAAACAGAATAACTGCCAGAAATTTAGGATTCTGTGAATAAGTCTGGAGCTGAATAAGGAATCAACTCTAACTATTCTATCCACCAACGTTAGAAGGGTAGCATAATCATGAAGCTTGCAGAATACAGTGTCAATCCCTTGGGTTTTCAAGTAGAAAACAGGCAAATACCATTATTAAACAGTTTAATATATTTATATGCATTTATTAATAAAAATAGGTGAGAATATCATTTGTATTAAGGAGAAATAAAACAATTGGAGATTCAGATCATTGAAAGCACAAATGAATTTTCAGAAAAGGAGCAGAAACTTTGGTAAGAATATTGATAAACCTCTCCGAGATGAACCAGGGTGGTCAACATCTATTTCAGAGTTAGATGTGGTTTGTCTGCCAGATAGTGCTTAATTTCATTTCTTATATACTATCCCTGAGCTTTAAGCTCTCTCTCTCTCTCGCTCTCTCATACCCAGGGATGGGGAAAAATTATGGATGAGGTTCAAGGATTTCACACGTTAATTTTTGCCCAAGTGCATAAAGGTGGTTGCCTCAAAATGTCATATATCCAAGAAATGTGGAAGGCAGGTATAGTCACCATTTTATGGATGAAGGAATTTTTATTGTTCATCTCCACTTCTATTTAGTAGGCCATCTCTTGGCTGCAGATATTAACAGTACTATGTGTATGTATTTGTGTGCTTGTGGGTATTTTAAATCCAGATTTCAACAATCAGAGCTGACTAGATGACCTCACTTACCCATTCCTTGTTCACACATAAAGCTTATCCAAAATGATGCTGCTAAGGATATTAACAGGTTGTTTGGCAGGCTATTTGGCAGGTAACATGTTTCTAACTAAATTTTCATTGATTCTTGAGGAATAGCATTAAAATGAATAAGAATTAGATTTGAAGCATATAGCACACAATGTAAATATACAGTAATTTATTTTTAATAATTTTAAAGAGTTATTAAAGTTGATTTTCAGCATTTTGCTCACTTCTCCCCCATAAAAAATGTCCAAAGTTTCCTTTTAAAAGTCACTTACAAGCTAGCAGTTCAAAACTGTATTTTTATTTTCCACCTAGAAGATTTATTAGATGGCCAGATGCAGAACACGGTTTTAAAATTTATATAGCAAAATAATACAGTAAATAAGAGCTTAGCCTCAAAAATGAGTTGCCCTATATTTAAATCCTAGACCCACCATTTACTAGTTGTTTAACTTTGGGAAATGTCTGTGGCTCTCTATGTCAGTGCCTCCATTCCTTTTCTATCCACCCTCATAAAGTTGTGAGGATGACAGCTAATCCATGTAAAGCTCCTCACACAGTACCTGGTCATAGTAAGTTACAGTAAGTCACTATTTTTTGTTCACTTAGCAGATAAAAGCCTGGCTAACCAGCTCAATGATACTCTCCTCCTCTCCAGAATGGTGATGGTGTGCTAGATTCTATGGTGTATATACACATTAGGAAGACACCCCTTTTCTGAAGACATACTTGATGAGTATTCTATAGGTCAGTGATGCTGAAGTATCCTGCAGGGCAAAATTTGATGGGTAAGTAGGCATTATGATTCTAATTTCAAGTAGTAATAAATATAAGTGCTGAACATGTTTAAATCTCATTTCATAAAGTAAGGCACCTTTCAGGACTTGCAGCTCCCTTAGAAGATACTAAAAAAAAAAAAAAAAAATCAAACCCATTATTTCTTAGGGCACACATAAAGTACCCTGCAAAACAAGGGGTGCCTGGGTGGCTCAGTCCATAAGCATCTGCCTTTGGCTCAGGTCATAATCCCAGGGTCCTGGGATTGAGCCCCACATCGGGCTCCCTGCTCAGCCAGAAGCCTGTTTCTCCCTCTCCCACTCCCCCTGCTTGTGTTCCCTCTATCGCTGTCTCTCTGTCAAATAAATAAATAAAATCTTTTTAAAAAATTTAAAAATGCGAAACAATAAATATAAATGCTGAACTGCAAAGCATTTGTAGAATGGTAAGATCTTTTTTGACCAATCTCCCATTTATAGACAACAATTCAATCATTTAGACAAATCTACTTCAATATATGTTAGAAAGTCATATGAGGCCTGGAGCAAGATACACAGTCCATAAATTAGAGTTGCTAAAAGGAGACCCCATAGCAATCTTCCTTAAATGAAATTACCAGCTGGGTTTTGCAAAGAATGCAAATTTATCTGTGAAAATTGGTGTGTCCCTAGGCTAATACCTTGTATTTTGGTCTGGGACTCCGGAATGATAATCCCCATGCCTGTAATTCTCTTTGGTAAGCTTAAGAACCATGGGAAAATCATTCTCATGTGACGTTTGTGACTTTTTCTCTAGTAAGTTTAGGCATGAGAATGTCTTTGCCTATTTACAGTTAAATGAATTTCCAAGACTGTGGACTTGGAAGCTCTGGCTTCAGCCCTAAAATTCCTCATTTCTGTTCTTTCCAGACTCCCTTACCTACTTGAATGCAGCCTTGTATCTCTGTGGCAAAGCAGGGCCTTTCCTGACAGGTAAACCTGCCGGGTGAATCCACCCCTGAGGGGCGTGTCAGTACCATTTCCTGGAGCAATCTCACAGGGTGGCTTTACTTTTCGTTTGTGCTCAAATAACTTTGCTTCCTCCTCTGCAGCTGCCAGACCAGTTCCTGCTGCTGCTCAGGTAACTCTAACCTCTCCAGGGCACCACTACAGGCAGAGGGGGTTGATAAATGACTTCTACGTGTGCCTGCTTGCCTTCCTTCTTACCCTTATTCATGAGCATTCTCTCTCTCTCTGTTTGTTCCACAGGGAGAGTGCCTGGGAAGTACCTTGCTGACCACTGAGAACATCATGAGCTCAAGCTATTGGAGTGAGATGAGCAGCAGCAGCTGTGGAACTCCACAGCCCCCAGAGATGCTACAGTGCCAGCCCCAGCATTACCACTGCTACCATCAGTCCAGCCAAACCCACCACCCACCAGAAAAAAATGTAGTGTACGAGAGAGTGAGGACCTACAGTGGGCCCATGAACAAGATGGTTCAGGCCTTGGACCCCATCACCTCACAGGAAGTGCTCTCTCCTCTCAAAAGTGCCTCCTCCTACCAAAGTTTGGTTTGGAGCAACCATTCTCAGGTACCATAAAGATAACTATGTGTGATTTGTAGAGAGGGGATATTTTCAACCTCATTTCTTTTCTTTCTGCTTCTCTGCCTCTGTTCTACAGGATGTTATCTTTTGGTGGATTGCAGCTATGTAAGCAATGTACGGTTACCCAAATTCTATCTCTTGCTGTTCTTTCATTTACTAGTGCCTGTGGTTGTTTAACAGCTCCAGTGAGTTGTATAATCTAACTAGAGCATAGGATGACTCATTTTTTGTTGGATTTGATTGAAATATCTGATCTGGGGTATTCCTTTGCCCTTACCATAAAGCAATCCTCAATTGAATACAATAATTTTTATAGAATAGGTTCCCACTGATTCACTTTATTTCAGAAATAAACAGGTTTTTTAAATCAAATATGGTAGTTCAAAGACAATGAGTTACATGGAGTGATGAGCAGTTGTGTTCAGCAAATAGTATGCTGCTCCTGGATAAGTCACATGCACAAATACCTGTTCAAATTGTCATATGTGTTTCATCTTCCGAAAATGACACACTGGTTCTTATACAGCCAAAGTGAATAATTTATGCATATTGGTAGAAAGAGGATTGAAAGAGTAGATATAGGATCGAGGAAGGCAAGATGTAAGCAACTGTTATATAAAAGCTTAAAAAAGCAGAACTCTAAGACAGCCTTTAAAATGAAATAAAATTGTTTTTAAAGGGGTTATTTTAGTATCATTATCTGTTCTAATAATCTTGCCAATGAATGTAAAGGAACATTGCAAGACTATAAAATTAAAAGCTATGCCTGTTTTCATTCTTTGAATCCCTTTACATTTATAGACATAACGTAAATTTGTGTGACTTTGAGCTTTCTGGAAACATCTGTCCAAACTAAAATTATGTTTTCAAGATAAAATTTATACTGGAAAGAGTTCAAAAAGCAACCATTGGGATGATGTTATCTGATGTTCATTATTTTACCGATCTGGAATAATATGGGTTATTTTTCCCAAAACCACAATTTAAAATAGGATATGAAGCAAAATTCTAAAGTATATAATAAAACTATTTTTGAAAGAATTTTTATTTTTTTATTTTTATTTTTTTGAAGATTTTTTGTTAATTTGACACAGAGAGAGAGAGCACAAGCAGGGGAAGCGGTAGACAGGGGCAAAGGGAGAAGCAGGTTCCCCAGTAGAGCAGGGAACCTGATGTGGCACTCCATCCCAGGACCCTGGGATCATGATCCAAGCCGAAGGCAGTTGCTTAACCAACTAAGCCACCCAGGCGCCCCTAAAAGAATTTTTAAAGACATAGATAACACAATTACAAAGGCCACAATTTTACTAATATTTCATGCTTAGCTTGAGGGAAACAATATTAAGAAAAAATCCAGGATTCACTTCAGTAATTTCCTAGTTGAAAAAAACTCCACTTGTATTGAAGTCAAAGGAAAGAAAAATATGAAGGTAAAAAATACTATTTTGCATAATTGATAATAATAATGTGAATGTACATTTCAATATTTAGTATTAGGATGTTAATGAACAACAAAGTGGGTGTCATCTATGTTCCTTAATAGCCCTAAAACAAGGCAAAAACAAGTTACCATTACTATAGAAATGCTAAAATCACCCTCTCTGTCATAGTCATTTAAAAACATTAATCTCTTTTCTTGTCAACTTGCTAGTAAAGATAGATAAAAATTTAACAGCAGAAATTTAACAAATTATAAATATTGATTACAGAACAAGTTTTAGGGTCACTTTATTGTATACTCCTTAGTTCAACTTTCCTTTTTAATAATCCCAGAACCAAGCTGGTCAAGCTTTTTTACAAGACTTTTCTTCTTTCTACCTGATAACTACTAAAGTGATCCTTGTAAGACTCTCTCCATCCTGAAACACAGTTCCCCATAGAGGAGATTATAAAGAACCTTAGGGACAGAAAGCATGGTCACAAAAACTGGGATAAGAGATTGGAATGGAGTGTTCTGAAGTCTAAAGTTATTTATAATTGAAAAGAAAGAAAAGTAAAGGCTGTGTGAAGATGAGGTAGGTGAAATTCTACATATGTAGTAAAGGACAAAACTAAGTTTCATTCCCTTAGTGAAACAAGAAGAAGGAAAATTTGACTATAAAATTTCAAACTGAGTTAGATATCAAAGGGCATTTACAAATCCGCTAAAAGATAATTTGGCAAGAAAATTTTTAGGTATTTGTCACAAATAATGTGATGAAGAAGCTCTTCTATTTTATTTTTCTTTCTCCTTGTTTCTTGGCAGGATGGCATTGTATAAAGTAGAACCAAGATTTGATCTGAAATTACCTTCATGTTAATGTAATGGGTAAGATGAGGCAGCAGGTTTATTATATACCATGCCAAACACAAGATTACAGTACATATTACTCAATATGTACCTTTTGTTTCATGTTTTAATAAAGCCTCTATATGCCATGTTTTAGAGGCATTTTGAGTTGGTATGTAGCAACTATTCTGATGCTAGAGTTTGTGATCCTCACAGGCAGGAAAATGTGTATTATAATCAATTGTTGGTTATCATAAATGCAGTTAAACTTTTACTTTGTCTTTTAGCATTTTGGTGTTTGGATGACATTCAGATAATTCATAAGATTTAAAAATATAAGTAATTGGGGTGCCCGGCTGGCTCAGTCGGTAGAGCGTGTGACTCTTGATCTCAGGGTTGTGAGTTCAAGCCCCATGATGGGCGTGGAGACTACTCATAAAATAAATAAAATAATAAAGTAAAATAAAATAAAATATAAAAAACACATAATTGTCAGTAGTAAAATATGTTCCCTTCTAGAAACTGAAATTGATGTCACTCTTCTTTGTTTCCTGATCTTAATTTTAGCTTATGTAGTAGACACTTTAGATTTAACTAAAGACTTTTTGCAGCACTTTAGTATTTTCTATTTCTGGCTTTTTAGTACATGTTTTTCCTCTATTGCCTTCTTGTGCACTAAAATGGTATTTATAAGTATAAACATATTTTAAATTTCTCCAGATATAATGTTGCTTTGTTTCTTGTCTATAATTAATAGATATATTTTATTATTCTCTCAGTATTATTTTATCTGATTGATCGAGCAGAGAAAATTGAATATAGAAAATAGTTGTGGTGAAATTATCTAAATTAATTCTAGAATTAAAATTACCAGGTTTATCCATATGGACAGGTAAAATCAAACACAGGGTAATCAAGGGCACAGATGCATTTTAAAACTGAATGCAGTCTTGTAAATAAATGAAGTTCTAGAAACTACACAAAACAAAATAAAACAACCTACCACTCAGCCTTTTAAAGAGCTTAAATATTAACCTACCATCATTAACTCAAAATGAAATACTGCCTTAATGAACACCACTGATGTAAAATTACTCAACATATATATTTCCCATCCACTAATTTAGCTTCTCATGAAGTTCAAGATATTTTCCATGTATGCAAAGGAACTCTGTTGTATGAGAGAGAATTGAATCAAAATAAAATGTTTTTTAATAAGTCATTCATTGAATTGAATATTTATTAAGTGCCTATTATATAGGAAGCACTGTGATTATTTGGATAAATATGATTTGCTTATCCCAGGGAGAGTCCACGTTGAGGATAAATGTAGAGGACCTGGTCTGTAAGTGTTCCATATGTCTATATTTCATTTTTAAATATTATTTTGTGCTTTGGCCATCAATATTTTATTGAATAAAACAAGTTTTGGTGAAAGAAGGGACCTCGTAATGTGTCATATGGGTTACCATTCTTTTGAAGTTAAAACTTGCAACCAAATTTAACTCTAGAAGCATCTGGGGAGAATGTGTTTTGTTTTTTGTTTTGTTTTGTTTTTTTTTTTTAATTTGACAGAAAGAGCGAGAGAAGAAGCAGGCTCCCTGCCAAGCAGGGAGCCCAATGCGGGGCTCGATCCCAGGACCCCGAAATCATGACCTGAGCCAAAGGCAGACACTCAACCATCTGAGTCACCCAGGCGCCCCAAGAATGTGTTTTTATGTGCGTTATTGATAGCAGAGGCTCAGCTTGGGTTTATCTTTGTTTACATGATTTTTTCCCCTTTTTCCCTTTTCATTGGTTACAAAGATTGTGGATAGCTCCCTTGCTGTGCCAGGATTTCTATACAGTATCAGAAAAATTTCTTGTTCTGCGGGGAGGGGTGTTTTGCTTTGATAAATTGTTGTTCAAGGGTGTGGTCACTAAAGTGAATGATTGTTCAGGGAAGTAGGTTGTAGAAAAAGGAATGAGGTCATAGGATAAAGAGGCCCATGTTTTCAGCTTTGGTCAGCACTTTTATGCTTGCAGTTAAATAAAGCTATAGAAATTGTGAGTGCAACTAATTGTTGGGTAAAATTGCCCATGCCAATTGTCTCTTTTTTAAGGGAGGTTTGATAAATTGCTGGGCCTGTTGTCAGGCCATGACACCTACAAGCTGTCCTTGTGTGTCTATGTGACAAGGTGGGGAAGGGAGGCAGGGCAAGGGGAAAGGAGGTGAACTGGTCCTTTGACTGCTATGATCCAAATTTCTTTTCTTGACAACTCATGGTAAAACAACTGGGATATTTGCCATGCTCTTAAATCCCATTTATTTTTATTTAAATTTTTTTTTATTTGACAATAGTTGACACACAATGTTACATTAGTTTCAGGTGTACTACATAGTAATTCAACTTCTCTATACATTATGCTATGCTCACCACAAGTGCAGCTACAATCTGCCCTCATACAACATCATGACAATATCATTGACTATAGCTCTTATGCTGTGCCTTTTATTCCAGTGACTTATTCATTCCATAACTGGAAGCCTGTATCTCCCACTCCCCTTCTCCCGTTTTTCTATACCCTCACACACCTTCCCTCTGGCAACCATCAGTTTGTTCTTTGTATTTATAGGTCTGATTCTGTTTTTTGTTTGTTAAACCCCATTTAAAAGTTAAAACCTTTGTAAACAAGTATATTTGAGCTAACTTTTTTTTTTCTACACCAGCAGGTA